AATGCTATAGTATGGCCATCAAAACTGAACTGCAAACTCCAAACGAGGCCCTAACAGGCAATAGACAAATAAAGAATAGCATTATTCATTTTATTGGTAACGCTTCTAGAAATAAATCCAAATATTCAATTTTTTCCCAAACTTTTATGCATTTTTTTCTATTAAATCCGTAATAATTATGACTCCCTAAATCTCTTTTTTGCGTTCATAATTTGCACTATTTCAATAGTATCCAGATGGAATCTGGTAGTTCTATGAACCTTCTTTGCCTACCTGCTTGATACCTGCTTGATACCTGCTTGATACCTGCTTGATACCTGCTTGATTCCTGCTTGATTCCTGCTTGATACCTGCTTGATTCCTGCTTGATTCCTGCTTGATACCTGCTTGATACCTGCTTGATTCCTGCTTGATACCTGCTTGATACCTGCTTGATTCCTGCTTGATACCTGCTTGATTCCTGCTTGATTCCTGCTTGATACCTGCTTGATACCTGCTTGATTCCTGCTTGATACCTGCTTGATTCCTGCTTGATTCCTGCTTGATACCTGCTTGATTCCTGCTTGATACCTGCTTGATTCCTGCTTGATACCTGCTTGATACCTGCTTGATTCCTGCTTGATTCCTGCTTGATACCTGCTTGATACCTGCTTGATACCTGCTTGATTCCTGCTTGATACCTGCTTGATTCCTACTTGATTCCTGCTTGATACCTGCTTGATTCCTACTTGATTCCTGCTTGATTCCTGCTTGATTCCTGCTTGATACCTGCTTGATACCTGCTTGATACCTGCTTGATTCCTGCTTGATACCTGCTTGATTCCTGCTTGATACCTGCTTGATACCTGCTTGATACCTGCTTGATTCCTGCTTGATTCCTGCTTGATTCCTGCTTCATACCTGCTTGATACCTGCTTGATTCCTGCTTGATACCTGCTTGATACCTGCTTGATACCTGCTTGATTCCTGCTTGATTCCTGTTTGATTCCTGCTTGATTCCTGCTTGATACCTGCTTGATACCTGCTTGATTCCTACTTGATTCCTGCTTGATACCTGCTTGATTCCTGCTTGATATCTACTTGATGGGGTTCTGGGAGTTCTACTCCCCCAAGCCCGACATTGACTTGTGAGAGTTTGATCCTTTGAACCCCACTTTCTCAGCATTCAAAAGCATCACCCAATCTTTCACCCATTTTAAAAGCTTATCTAGATAGTCTTGGTGTGATTTAGAATTTGTTTTTAATTTTTCTCTCCCAATTTCTGTATCTTCAGTAAATCTTGCTTCTCAATCCTGAATTTAAATATTTTATTTACACAGTAAACAAGAGAGGTCCCAGGACAAAGCCTTGAGGCACTCCACTTACAATAGCTCTCCACTCTGACTTAACTCCATTTATTATCTTGTTTCCTTTGATACAACAATGCTCTTATCTAACGTAAGATAGCACGAGGAATACCGCGAGCCTCTAACCTCTCCTCTAATCAGTCACCGTAATGTAGGTGTTTCACTGTGTGTTTGTGTATGCATGTATGCGTGTCATGTATGTCGTCTGTATTTATGATACAGATCTCTCCTACCTTGGGAGTGAAGGTGTGTGTGTAGACTCGCGAGCAAGGCTCAAGGCGGTAAAGCACGTCATTCGTAAAGTAATTTCAAAATGTGAATATTGATTCATTTGCGAAATTGATGTTGGAGTAGTGATGAGTAGACTTGAAACCATGCCACGAGTGTGTGTGTGTGTGTGTGTGTGTGTGTGTGTGTGTGTGTGTGTGTGTGTGTGTGTGTGTGTGTGTGTGTGTGTGTGTGTGAGCACTGACGAGGACTGAGGTTATCTCACAAGGTTGTCTTGCGCTGGTAAGAAAGTTATCCCTTGGTATGTGGTGTATTACACTGTACTACAATATGGTGTAGTGTTGGTCACTGTACTCTTAATACTAGACAGTGCTGGTCACCTTGCTACACAGTGATCACACAGTCTCTAACCTGAAACATTCAGTGACAAAATTACTCTTGGCTGTTATGAGTAGTTTTCACGATGCTATTTTATGAGCAGTGAGGTTATTCAAGTGTAAATATCATGTTCAAAAATGTTCGTTTTGAGTATTTACACTTGGGGTAATTTCCACAGATTTACAGTAAATTATTTACTTGAGACAAAATCGTAGTAGTAACATGAAATATTTAAAATTATACACTGTATACTCAAGAATTAGATTTAGATTTAGAAGTTACATTTATCAATGATTTATACAAAAATTACAGTTGTCAAGACTCGCAATCGGAAACTATTTCTGTACCAACTTATACAGAGGTTTACAATAATGTCTGAACTAAACGGGTGTACATCAGTCTACCTCAAGGTTTACATTTTGGCTTTAGAGTATATGTGTGTAGTGAGGTGTTGTGTGGTGAGGTTACATTCTCTTGAAATGCCTACAACCAGCCAGGAAAGTATTGAAATTATGTATAATATATGTAGTAATATGTAGTAATATATATATATATATATATATATATATATATATATATATATATATATATATATATATATATAACTTGTGTAAATTGAACATGTGCGTTAGCCAGTAGGCCCAATGCATGTATTCCTTTCTCATATTCTTACATATTAAATATCAGATGCAAATGGTAATGCATCAAGATATGTAGATTTCTACATATAAGAATGTGGCAAGACTTATTGCAGACCCTCGCTATAGTGTTGTGTAGGATCGTCACACACAGCCATAACTGCAACACGGCTCACTTAAACTAGCAATTAGTAAAGCCAGCCACAAGAGAAAGGACGCATGACCCCCTATTTTTGGAAATAATGAAGCAATGTTCAACGGTTTCGAAACACATCTGGTATAGACGGCAATCTAATCGCAGTGAAAAGTTGCATATTGAAGAGCCCTGAGGTGGGTATAGAGCGCTGCTTGCCTAACTAACCCTGATAGGTAAGCTCCCCTTCCGTGGTTACCTATCAGGGTAGTTACTACATTGGTGAGATCGTCACCAATGTAAATGATCGTCACCAATGTAAATGATCGTCACCAATGTAAATGATCGTCACCAATGTAAATGATCGTCACCAATGTAAATGATCGTCACCAATGTAAATGATCGTCACCAAGAGATCGTCTTAATAACACGATCTCTTGCTCTTGTTGTTTTAAGATTCAAGGGAACAAAGTTCCAAGTAGCACGGGCTATGGTGAGCCCGTTATCTTGAGATGATTTCGGGGCTTTTAGTGTCCCCGCGGCCCGGTCCTCGACCAGGCCTCCACCACCCAGGAAGCAGCCCGTGACAGCTGACTAACACCCAGGTACCTATTTTACTGCTAGGTAACAGGGGCATAGGGTGAAAAAACTCTGCCCATTGTTTCTCGCCGGCGCCTGGGATCGAACCCGGGACCACAGGATCACAAGTCCAGCGTGCTGTCCGCTCGGCCGACCGGCTCCTCGGTCATAGGTTTTGTTAACTTTGTTCTTAAATGGATGGTAGTTCCCCCCTGTTACCTAGCAGTAAATAGGTACCTGGGAGTTAGTCAGCTGTCACGGGCTGCTTCCTGGGGGTGGAGGCCTGGTCGAGGACCGGGCCGCGGGGACACTAAAGCCCCGAAATCATCTCAAGATAACCTCAAGATAACCCCCCCCCCCCCTCTCCCCCTCTCCTTGGTATTTGTACATTTCCGGGCTCCGGATCGCATCATGTCATCTCTCGCCTTGCTCTGCAGTTTTACTTGTTCCATTGTACTTTTTTTAGGTAGTCCTTTATCCTCGTGTAGTCTCTGTCGTATCTTATCTTCCTCGTCCTGTTTCCTCTTGTGTGATCCCTCCTTAAACAGTGGTCACTGTATTATAATAATATAGAGGTTATAATAATGCAGAGGGCACTGTATTATAATACAGAGGTCAGTGTATTATAATAATACAGAGGTCAGTGTATTATAATAATACAGAGGTCAGTGTATTATTGTGTAAACATGTGTATTGTTGCTGGTGGGTCCTCTCTATCTCTCTCCCTCTCTTTACCTCTTTCTCTATCTCTCTCCCTCTCTTTATCTATCTCTCTCTATATCTCTCCCTCTCTTTATCTCTCTCTCTCTCTCCCTGTCCCTCTCTTTATCTTACTATTAGCTATGTGAATTTAGGTTGAAGAAGAGAGGATTAGTTTTGTTGGTTCCGTGTGAGAGTTGTGTCCTTGTACTAGAGTATGGTGGTCCCCGAGGCATGGCGGCGACCTTGAGGCAGGTGTTGGTGTACCTGTCATCCTCCTTCATGGACCTTGTGGTTACCTCGAGGCCCTTGTCACAGTCCTACTCCAGCCCTGCCTGCACCTAGGCTTCGTCTTGTCATAACTTGATCTAATAGGCTGTTGCTTGCAGCGGCCTGTAAGCTATTCGTATCTTCATGAGCCTTCACTGCTGTAGTTTTTAATGTGTCTTACCGGCTTCCTTTGGTACTGTAAGCACTGTCGTGGGTGTAGCTACGGCATCTTCACCACCTCTCACCTGTATCATGCTTGGAGGATTAGCGTACTGTCATGCCCGTGCAGGTGTGTCCTGCCGGTGTGTCCTGCAGGTGTATCCTGCAGGTGTGGGGCACATGTACACCTGTTTGTTTACTTGTGGTGGTGAGTGGCAGGCGGTGAGGGCCTCACCTCTGCTGTGTAATTATTGGTCGCACCTCCGCGGCCCGGATGACGGAGGGGGCGTCGGGGGGGTGCGTGACGTGGACGTGACGTCATTCCACGTCATAACCCGGTGCCCAGATGCCAGCTGTCTCCGCGCCGCGGCCCAGTGTCTTGAAGAAGCAGTCGCTGGCAGATCTTGCATCATTCACATCCCAGTGTGTCTGGTTATCTGGCGCGGGCTGGTGAGAAGAGGCTGGCAGGTGTGAGAGGTGAGAGGCAGTACACTATCCAGGGATAGGGTGTTATGAAGGTGTTTGGCAAGCGGGATGGGGGATAGTGGTAGGGAGGGAGTGGTGGGTGGAGCCGGCTATGAGGGGGCGGGTCGAGGCGCCGCAGGTAACAGTCGAGAGGGGCCGTGTGCACACTCCTCAACCTTCCCCCGCGCCGGTCTGTGCTCAGCTCCTGTGCCATCGTCGTGGTGGTGCAGCAAGTGTGAGGTCGGCACCAGGACTTGCCTCTCCTCGTCAGTGTGTCTTAGTGTGTGTGTGTGTGTGGGGCGGCGTGCACTCTACGGGGCGGTGGTGTGGTGGGGCGGCTTCACCAGTGTGTGTGTGTGTGTTTGAGGGACGGAGGGAGGCTCTGTGAGGGGCACCAGCTGTGGTGCACGGTACCCGCCTCGCTCTCCATTCAACTCCCCCCTTCGCTAAATTCCACGCACCCGGGGTTTGTGAGGGGGAGGTGCACGCCCCTGTGTGTGTGTGAGGGAGGAGGAGCACGCCCCTGTGTGTGTGTGTGTGTGTGTGGTGCACGCCCCTGTGTGTGTGTGGGGAAGGTGCACGCCCCTGTGTGTGTGAGGTGCACGCCCCTGTGTGTGTGTGAGGTGCACGCCCCTGTGTGTGTGTGAGGTGCACGCCCCTGTGTGTGTGTGTGTGTGTGTGTGAGGTGCACGCCCCTGTGTGTGTGTGTGTGTGTGTGTGTGTGTGAGTGAGGTGCACGCCCGGGTGTAAGAGACCTGGTGGTGGAGCTCCCTGAAGGGGGAATGTTAAGTGTTCTCGTCTTGGCTGTGCGACTTGTTCAGCCCCGTCGCCCGTATTGACGGCAGGCGACCATCGCTGCCAGCGGCGTGTGTGTGTGTGTGTGTGTGTGTGTGTGTGTGTGTGTGTGTGTGTGTGTGTGTGTGTGTGTGTGTGTGTGTGTGTGTGTGTGTGTGACTGGTGCTGGGTGAAGAGTTTTCTCCATGAATGAAAGCCTTACCTCAACACCTGTAGCGAGCCGTGGTGCTGCTACTGGCGTCAGCCAGGCAAGCAAAGCCATACAATACTGTGATGTCCGACAGGGCTCTGTATTATTGTGTATTAATAGTGTCAATCTTCCCGCTCTCGTGTATAGAAAGTCATACAGAGCAGTGAGATAAAGAGACGGTTTAAGAGGACCAGGAGACAAAGAGACGGGAATCGAGGAATCCCTTTTACCCGGGAGGAAGCAGAAGACGTCCTTCAGTAGTTCCTGAAGGTGAGTATCCGCTTCTGTTATATCTGGCCGGCCGGGGCGCCCTACCCGCTCTGTCCTCGTGTGTGGGTGTGGAGAGAAGAATCACTTTTAGCAGAAACACCCCATTCGGTACACTGCTAGGCTTGTGTTTCGTATTTGTCGCTAAGTATACAACTAGTGCATGGGTACCTTCTAAACACTAAGGGGTAAAGTAAGAGTTTACTGTGCCTTGTATGCCCGTGTCCCAGCAGGCAGCTGGGTCGTGTCCCAGCCAGGCAGCTGGGCGGTGTCCCAGCCAGGTCGTCAACCTTTGCAAATGCTTTGGTAAGGAGATGTTTAGATATGGACACATGAGCGAGAGAGAGAGAGAGAGAGTGAGAGCGAGTGAGAGAGAGAGAGAGAGAGAGTTCAATTTCAGACAAATTGATCACAATACCAGTAAGCCAAACAAATGCAGTCGGTGCAGAGTAAAGCACAGTACCTGGCGGCACTCTCACTACTCGTTCTCATCCTAATATCTGACGAAAATAAAGCACACACACACACACACACACACACACACACACACACACACACACACACACACACACACACACACACACCTACCTGAGCTTCCTGTCATTCTTTGCAGTTGACGCTAAGATGAGCGTGACCGTCACAGCTCTCCAGGTCTCCGTAACAAAGTCACATGGTTGTGGGTGCGTTATTCCGAGATGCATCAGGACGCGGTTATTACAAAGGTTATTACAAAGGTTATTACAAAGAGGGTTAGCTTGAATAGAGTGAAATGCGAATGATAACCCGTTATAAGCGGAGTGCCCAAAGAGACCGTCTTGGAACCTCTGTTGTTTATCATACATGAATAATTTATACACAGGATTGACCAGTGATATTAGCATATTTGCAGGCGATACGGAAATAGTTGTGAGGCTAGGTAGTAGGCATCCATCAGTAGTTTAGACTATAGAGTTGCGCTCTGGTTGTCGGTATGTCTAGTGTTACCTAGCAGTAAAATAGGTACCTGGGTGTTAGTCAGCTGTCACGGGCTACTTCCTGGGGGTGGAGGCCTGGTCGAGGACCGGGCCTCTGGGACACTAAAAAAAAAAAGCCCCGAAATCATATCAAGATAACCTCAAGATGGAGTGGCCTCTCTAGGGCGCAAAGCCAGGGGTAGGTTGATACGGGGAGAGGGGGGGGGGAGAGAAGCTGTCACCCATCCAGCAGGTCCCCACTCTCCACACCGCCGAAAATCTGCAATGAAAAGGCAAACGCCAATATGTTTGGTTCCAGCGTCGTCGCAGGAACTGTCAGAACGAGGTTGAAGGCAACAGCGAAGTGTCCCAGGGGGCTCCAGCTCCGGAGTTGACCTCGAAGGTGGTAAAAGTAGGCACAGGGACCCCACACCCGGAGACCGCCGTGGTCGGGGCCGGAGAAGAACCACCCCAGCAAGGGCAAGAACGACCCCAGTCTCCTGAAGCAGAGCCTGGGCCGCACGAGCTTGGTACCTGCTTGATACCTGGTTGATGGGGTTCTTGGAGTTCTTCTACTCGCCAGGCTCGACTTGTGAGAGTTTGGTCCACCAGTCTGTTGCTTGGAGCGGCGGCCCGCAGGCCCACATACACATCACAGCCCGGTTGGTCCGGAACTTCTCTTAGAAAACAGTCCAGTTTTCTCTTGAAGATGTCCACGGTTGTTCCGGCAATATTTCTTTCTTATAGTCGCTGTGAGGAGCCCCAGGAGGTGGACGTCCCGGCCCCGCACCTACGGGTCCCAGAGAGAGTCACAGCCATCAGAGGCCGGCTTGATGACCCAGCACAAGAAAGAGTATTAATTATTAAGTATTATAATAATAATAATTATAATAAGTTATAATTAATAATTATTACTGTTCCTTGTGGTAGGTCATGAAGGAAGCCGGCCTCGGTAATGATAGTTGACACAGATCAGTTGGACAATGTTTAAATTGCTAAATCTGAAAGCGAAAAAAAATCTCTGAAGCCACGATTAACAGGGATCTTAAGGCGGATAATCAATGTATAAATGATCAAATTATGACCAATAGAATACTGAAATTGATTTATAGAAAGGTTAACGAGACTATTGTTGAACCTTATTAAGTCCCCGAGGCTCAGTTTCGTTATGCAGTTCAGCATTGGGCCTGACGGCTGAGTGTACAGCGCTCGGGGATTCGTAGTCCTAAGGTTCCGGGTTCGATCCCCGGTGGAGGCGGAAACAAATGGTAGAGGAAACTCTACCCATTTCTATCAGAACATAACAAAATGAAGAGAGCTGTGGAAGGTCTCTTGGCTCATACGAGCCTAATGTGTCCCCCTCCTGGACTTGAACCTATGCTTGTAAGTCAGGTGACCCCCGAAGTCTACCCCGGTACCCAGTAATCTCTACCTCAAATCAACAACGGTGTTTGGAAGCCGGTATTTACCCAGGTCTTCACCAAATCTAAACTTCAGTTCTTCATTCCATAGTATGGCGAGTAAAACTGAACTGCATAATGGGGTCTAGAGGAGAACAAGATATTGCTGAAGAACAACTTTATGTATTTTCTTGCTAATGCAATTTGAAATAAATCCCAGTATCCTATGTGTTCTATTTCGAAGATTTATTCATTGATTTAATTTGTTTTGGCCATAAAATTTCTACTAATGACCCTCCCCCCAGAACATTTTCGCAATCAGACCGTAATTTCGGTATCATTCAGATGATAGTTACAGGATATCAGTACCATCTTGTAACTACTGTATCATCATTACCTAGCCTCAAAACCCTGCATTTGTCAGCATTAAACTGTATCTGTCAGTCTTTAGACAATTCCAAAAGCCTATGTAGTCTTGAAGTGATTTTGAAACTTTTGAAATTATTTCACGTTCAATTTTCATACCTTTTGTATATTTGCAAATAATATGGGTAGAAGTAAATATATTATTTGCTAAATAAGTATGACCAGTCCAGCAACGAGGAGGCCTGGTCAACGACCGGGCCGCAGGGACGCTAAGCCCCGAAATCATCTCAAGATAACCTCAAGATATAGCCAACTCATTCAGGTGTGTCTAACCTACGCATGAAACAATAATACCAGAATTAGTTTGCGTATTAAAGAGCCGGTCGGCCGAGCGGACAGCACCCTGGTCTTGTGGTCCCGGGTTCGATCCCGGGCGCCGGCGAGAAACAATGGGCAGAGTTTCTTACACCCTATGCCCCTGTTATCTAACAGTAAAATAGGTACCTGGGTGTTAGTCAGCTGTCACGGGCTGCTTCCTGGGGGTGGAGGCCTGGTCGAGGACCGGGCCGCGGGGACACTAAAGCCCCGAAATCATCTCAAGATAACCGAAATAGAAATTGAAATAAGTTTATAAGATAACCGACGTTTCGGTCTGTCCTGGACCATTCTCAAGTCGATTGTGAGAATGGTCCAGGACGGACCGAAACGTCGTCGTCCCTTCATATTCTAGTGTGTGATCTGGTCAACACCACCCTCACTGTTATTCTAATTCACAAACCTGAGACATTCGTTGAAAGATACCAAGTGAGTAGATGAGTGAAATGAATATCTGCCTTGTAACATAACTCTCTGACGAATATTAACCTGAAGACATGACTCTAGCAGCTTACTACAATGACATTGTCTCAGATAATCTCGCTCTTAAAGTAGTCACAGACCAGGTAGTTCAGTAGACGTTCTAACAAGTTCCCCGTTAACCAAAAGATCGAAAAGAGTTAACAAAGTACGATAATACTCCGGAAAATGATCTTCATAACCAATAAAGATATAAATATTCATATTACAACATGGGATACCACGAATTCCCAGCACAAATTATCCAAAGTTAAATATAAAATATGTACATTAAGCTTGCAAAATTTACAAGTGTGAGGGTTGTAGAGTGAACGCGGCTTACACAGTGAAGGTGTTGTGGGGGAGGTGTAAACTTAACTAACCAACATCCCAAGGGAACTAACCAGCATCCCGAGGGGACTAACCAACATCCCGAGGGAACTAACCAGCATCCCGAGGGGACTAACCAACATCCCAAGAAAGGTCGTTCCCATTACTGAAGCTCCAACACATGGCAGAGAAAAAAAGTGAAGCCACAATTATACAAAATCGGTATAGAGTTTTTACTTGAGAAATTCGACGACTCCAGGAAAGAGGGGAAATGGTCGCTGGAATGCTTCGGTGAGTACAAATATTCAAAGGGATATTAATGTACGTAGGTCACATAAATATAGAAGAGGCTCTAATACCAGGCATGAATTGCAAAGCAGAGAGAGCCCGCCAAACACACACCGAAACTACGACGTTGGTACAACGTTCGGACAAGTTTTAACACCTCCCAACCAGTTATAACAACCAATATAGCAAGTTGTAACAACGTTCTAATACGTCATAAACACGTTAAGCCAAGATGTAACAACTTTATTACAAGTTGTAACAAGCGGAAAATAGAGACAGTTACGGTTTGTGTTTCCAGGGAGTCAGCCATGAGATATGAAAAAATAGAAATATTTTTATTTTTCATTACAAAAAAAATTAAGTAGCCACAACTTAACTTTCGACAGGAGATTCCTACACAGAAGATGATAGAATGTGCTCAATCCTTAATGACAAGAATCAGTTTAGATCTTGAGATCTTTTGGTCTCAAGATCAAACTTTCTCAATTGTACAAGACCAAAAATCTTGAGATTTTTGGTCTTGTACAATTACGAAAACAGCATACAGGACAGGCAGTCTTTTCCTGCAACTCTATATTTATATATAAATATGAAATATCACTAGCACAGGCATTCAATGTAGTCTGGAGAAGTATCTTAGATTCTGGCGAAGCATTTTTTTTTTATTATTATTTTCTACCACAGACGTGGCCACACATTTACAATGCTAACCAGCATATATACATTTTCTTCTGTTCTCCATGGACAGGTTTAGAGATGTGTTAAACATATAGTTCAAGGGTTTATTGAACACTCAACCACAGAAGGTGATTCGGTGCTTTTAAAATGCTAA